GGACGCGACCCAGGGAATGCTACTGAAGCCAGTACCCAACTCCAAAATGTTCGAGCATTGTTCGAAAAAGTTACTCGAGCTGGGAATCGTGCACAGCGCCACGGCATGCCGGCTAAAAATAAAGAAACTCAGGCAGGACTACAAAAAAATTAAAGACTATAATAACAAGAGTGGTAACGACCAGAAGACCAGTAAATGGTACGAGCGCTTGGATGCTCTGCTAGGCCACAGACCTTCATTCTCCGGGACAGCATCGACCTTCGATTCGTGCACGATGGTGTGGGAGGCCGCTCAAACGGCGGATTCAGTGGCCAATGATGACGACCACGACGAAGGTAAAATCAACTACATGCACTGGGGTTTTAATCTGCACAATAATGGTCTCAGATGTACTTTTATTTGCTCAGTACATCGAGCTAGCCATGCTAGGCTGAACTGGCTAACACCGGCCCAGAGCTGGCTAATAACATCTAGCTAGCTAGATATTCTCGGCCGCTATGAAAACGTTTTGACTTGTGAATAACTGTGCAGTGTTTCTGTAATTTGCTTCACTAACTCATGGCACTAATCGTGTGTTTCAGGCGAGGCTGGACAACTCTCAGGATTGGAAACAAGCAAGCTTTCCCTTCTAGATCACAGCGCTTGCTCGTCCCCCTTACCAGCAACCAAACGCAAAGGTACACACACTGTAACTTGGTCTTGAAAGAACGTTACGCATCGAACTGATGTTCACAATCACGTTTATTTCCTTCTTGGTACAATTATGAAACAGCGTGAAAACGTATTCGCCGACCGGCGTTTACAAATCTTCGCGCCGTTTTTACTCTCTCACAAACATTGTAAACATCCGGGCTAGAGGTCACATGACTTCCGGTAAGAAAACTTGCCTCAACAACATTAAACAAAGTTCAAGCATACATGAAGCACTCTTCAAAAATACAAAACAATAAATAAGGGCACTTTGAGCGGCAGCTACACACACACACACACACACTCAGTGTGTGTGTGTATATATATATATATATATATATTTTATGCTATTTGATCCTATATTATCTTCTACTATACACCTGCATTGTGTACACTGTCTTGTCCCGGCCTGCACCCTGTCCAATGTTGACTAGTAAACACATTCCTAGTATGTTGTAAAACTACATGGCGACTAAACAGATCTTGTATCTTGCTTATTTTCCCTCCCTATAGTTGCCACTGTTAACAATGTCTGCTGCTGAGCCTATCCCTACACCTGGGACAGTTCATTTTGTATTGTTTTTATTAATACTGACACACAACTTTGCACTAAGGTGTGTATGTTGCTGAGCCTATCCCTACACCTGGGACAGTTTATTTTATATTATTGTTATTACTGTTATTATATAGTCTTGATACAACTGACACTTTATTTTATATTGATAATGTTAACTTACATGTACAACTTCTATTTTATTTACATAAAATGTGAACTTCTATTTACTGTTATGTCTTGAGAGTGCAATAAAGAGAACCTACATGGCGATTAAACAGATCCTGTATCTTGCTTATTTCTCCTGACACTTTATCTTTAGTGACCTGTGTAGCATCCTATACATCACATGTAAGTGATTATTCTGATACCATCATGTTTCATCGGTTATAAACTGGCGAAGCTTTATTTGTCATTTATTCATCATCAATGTTGCAACCTTGTGGGGGAATGGCAGCGGCACATACACAAATATGATAATTTATATCATTTAAAATATTATTTGACCTAAAACTAAATGTTTTTATGATTATCCTCTGAGGAGGACATGGGGATTTGCAAACTTTTAATTCCCCCCCCCATTTTACACAACACAAAATGGAGTCCACTATGGACCGAAACTAACATGTAGGTTTCCATAGTGTTTATGGCAGACGGATGCAGTGGGTCTCAGGAAGATATATATATAATAAAGGTGGGTTTGCTGCTGAGCCTATTTACTGTGCATACAACACACCTGGCACAGTTTATTGTTATTATATTGCCACACTGTACACTATTGTAATGTTGCCTGTCTTGACTGGAAAATAAAAGAGAGAAACAAAAGCACTGTACAAGAGATCAGCTTTATTGTCAAAATGTTTACAATGTACAATCGTGTGTTGCCCCCCAGCCTCGGCAATGGCTGGCGCTGGCCCATCAAGCTGGGTCGCTGGTAAGGCAGTCCATTCGTCCCTGTACTCATCATTACTTTCACAAAGGTTATGTAATATGCAACATGCTGCCACCTGGATTTTGATCTTGTCCATCTTGCAGTCGTTTCTTTTCATCAAGCACCGCCACCTGCCCTTCAGTCTGCCAAAAGCGTTCTCCACCACCACTCGTGCTCGGCTTGTTTTGTTATTGTACGCAAGTTGCTCAGGCTGCATTAACTCAGTTACAAAGCTGTATAACATGAGCAGAGACAGCACAACTTCAGTCGACTCCATCTCCATCATGTCTGAGGTCGGAAGGTAAACAACAGACGCCTAATGTACAGCGAGTGGGTGGGCGTCGCAGTATACGCGGGAAGTTTTTCTTCTTCTTCTTCTCTTGTTTTTGTAGCGGATTGCAAACAACTTTAAGGTGCATACCGCCACCTACTGTACTCACCGTGAAGTGGTTTGTGGCCTGCCAGTAAACCCAAAGCAGAAGAAGAAGAAGTGACGTCAGCGGCTCATTTGCGTAATCTTCCCTCAGGGAAAAGTACTCCGGTGTGAACGCGATTGGTACTTAGTGCCCTGGGGTAAAAAGTGCCGGGGCTCTTAGTGCCGGAACTAAGTACTGCAAAGTACTTGGTGTGAACGCGCCTAATGAGAATGAGGGAGAGATGGGCCGGCAGAATAATTACCGAAACTAAACGAAGTGTTTTTATTTATTTATTAAAATGATAACTACAATCCAAAAAAACAGGGGAAGCCTGGCTTCCCTTGGCCTCCAGGAGAAAATGCCACTGAGTTCAAGGGATCATGCAGTTGTACGTGCCAGTTGAGCTGGTTCTTCCACCAGCTCAACTCTGTCCCTCATCATGAACGCAGGAGGCTGGCTGTATATCTGAACTTGCACCCTCATCATTCTCTTCATCATCTTGCACTTGTTCTAAGCTGCTGCTGATAGTGCTTGTAGCAGCGCTGCTGCCAAAAAGGTCTGTCAATTTGCGACATTTATATGTATCACCTGCGAGTGACTTCACCTTTTTTTCTCTTGCCTTCTCGGCCGCACCTTTTTCTTTTCGTTTTGTTTGATTTTTATCCATGTTTTTTCATTCTCCCAGCCCGATTTTGGGAGTCAGAAGCCGTCAGAGGCCGTCAGAGGCAGTTGGGCATTCGCGGCGCCCTACTCAGGTTTGTGTGTCCCGCACCGTCGTCTCTTTACGGCACCTTTTCACACCTCCCGACGCCGGGACATGTTGAATCGGCCGCGGGAGGTCAGAGAAAGTCGGCCCAAGCAATCACTCTGATTGTCTGTTCACACTACCGCTGCCTGCTGATAAGGACAGTTATTGCCACTCGTCGACTGAAGTATTTGCGGTGTGTTCGTAGGCGGGCGGCGTAGCGGGCGACGTAGCCGACGCAGGCGACGAAGCTGACGTAAAAGTCGGGACGCCTTCGGTACGCGTTCTTTGGTCTCAGGTGGGTGTGTAGCGGCCTTAATCCCTTCTCTTCATGTGGCCGGTCTTTTTTCTTCTTCGTGTGTGATTATTTGACAGATAAAAACTACACAACTGCATTAGTGGCCGCTGTCGCCCTCTGTCGGCCGTCAGCGCAACTTAAATGATGACTTTAAACACATTTTTTTTAAAGGGCCGGCCGGCCGTCAACGGCCCTTGACAACCGGCCGTTCTGTGGTTCTCCAGATTCTACAGATGGCCAGTCCGCCCCTGCCCTGCCCGACAGTAAAAATAAACATTGAGAATTGAGAAGCCTTTTTGGTGTTCAGATAAGGTTATGGTGAACCTCTTTAGAGCTTATTGTACTCCTTTCTATACTGCCCCCTTGTGGGTCAAGTCTAAGAAGGCGAGCCTCCAGAAGCTCCAGGTTGCTTATGATTGTTTGCGTATACTGCTTAGAAAACCAAGGTGGTGCAGTGAAAGTGAAATGTTTTGTAATGCACGAGTCAACACATTTCATGCTCTCTTGAGAAATCTAATGTACAAATTCATCTGTCGATTGAATGTTTCTCATAACTCTGTCATTATGCTGCTGTCAAATCCGTGTCTCAGTGCTATACGATACCAGTCACCTCTGTGGAAACATTGGTATCACTGCCTTCATTAATTTATATTTGAGTGTTGTATGTCTTTTAAAAATTGACCTTGAGTCTCTTCAATAAAGCTGATGATGTAAACTACTAGTTCAGATAAACCAGTAGTGATGACGCACTGACGCCAGAGGCTGCCATCTTTCACTACAAATTAAGTGCTTTTACTTCCTGCTAACAAACCATGCCATGGTTTATCACATGTCCAAATGTAATAGCCCAAAAGAGCCACAAAATGATCGACATAAGTAAGCCTGCTACTAAAGTTTATCTTCATTATAAATTCATCTGCCCATTCATATCTGACATGTGTTTAAATGCATGAAAGATTCCTTTAATTGATTATCAAAGTAGTGGGCAATAATTTTTCTGTTGATCAACACATCTACAACTTTACCAGCTGAAACATTAAAGTTCAGATTAACATCGATAGGTATAATTTAATACATTATACTTCTTTCACTGCTCAATCTAATTCCATACTTGTTCATATCGGTAGGAAACCTGAACTATGTGAAGTAGATAAGGACAGATTACAGTGGAGAGGTCAGTGGGGCTTCAAGAAAATACCAAATTTCCCTCCGTAGATCTCATTTGTGATCGTAAATTGCCCCAAAGAAAGACAAGACAACACCCAATTTTAGGAATAAGTGACACAAACTACATCGACAGACACACACACACCTCTGCTATGGCCATTATTATATCGGATGAATGATAAGGACGGTTTCAGAAAACAGATTGCTAAAAAAAATATTTTATTTTAAAAGAAACATATTCAGTACATCAGCACTATCTCACAATCTGATAAATATTTGTCTGACTTCCTGTATCACAGCTGGACAGCTACACACTGTCTTGAGTTGATTGCATTTATTTACTTTCATCCACAAACGAAGCAAGGTGAAATCTATCCAAAACAATCCAACTTGCCCTTAAAACCAACTAGTAAACACACCGTGTGTACTGTACGTAGCAGTTATTAATGACATTATGGTTTGTAAAATTTAGAAGGAGATGAAACGTCTTAATCTTGTTCAGGGATTCATAAGTGAAGTGAAAGCTTGAACTCTTCAAGGAGGCTCAATATTACTCACAGATCACAGAACAATGACGATCCTATTATATATCTTCAGTTCATCGGAACGCACACAGCTGAGAGTCCTGCTGCCTTCCATTAATGTGATCCACTGTCTGCTGAGGGTGTTCCTGTCTTCAGATGAATGTAGTATTTCTTCATCCACTTAAATCAAGAGCACATCATGGTGTGGATGGCTGTGGATATTTATACTCGGATGTTTGAATCTACACAACTGTTGGGAAATATCATCAATGCATCGTCCCATTGTTACAACACAAACCATGCTGGTGCTGTTAGTGTACAGACGTGTGTGTGCAGTCTGTGGTGGACGCCTCAGTGTGAAGCTTCAGCAGCCACACCCCGTCATCAGAGTGAAACACTTGCAGGTCAAAGCTCTTTGGTCTCCCTCTCCAATGAGAAGTTATTCAGTGATAGGTTCCATCAGGTCTATAGGATGAGTCTCTGACCCAGGATCTTGCGGTTGATCTCAGCCAAGGCGACAGAAAACACAAAAGCCTTCTCATCGGAAAGACTGGCATACATATCCACCTCTTTCTCCTGTTTCTCTGTAAACACAATAACAAACAATAAAACACACAGAACCCATTTTGGTTATTTAGCTATGGTCATGTCAATAACATTAAAGTGCATTTGACAGGACAAACCATCTTCTGTTTGTGTAGCAAGCAGAGAACTGCACTTTGGGCAGGTAGATAGTTTGTCCAACCAAATATCTTTCCATATTTGACATTTAGTCTTACACAAACATCATTTTCATTGCAATCAAAACACTGTTTTGCTCTCCAACTTGTGTTTGAACCCCCAGGCCCTGAATCCTCCACATCAGAACCTGCCAGAAAACATGGTTCCAGATGTTGGTGCATCCACTCTGAGATGAAAAGGTTAGCAAAGCAAAATGTCTCCAAGAAACAGAGGCTGTGTTCCATAACATGTGTCATGTGTCACTTTGAAATGATGTGCTGGTGAAACAAACAACAAAGTGAGGCTCACTAGTGCAACCAATGTCAAAGTGTGTCTGAAGACTGGTGTATCTTCTTATTGAATAGCAAGCTGTGTAAAACATCTCCATGGACTACTCCAACAGGACCCCACTTTCAAAATAACATATGTTGCTTGTATATGTATTACCAATTATGGACTGAAATGATAACCAAGACCGATGACATTACTAAATGATATTATATATCAGAAGCTCAGTAGAATTGCTGTGCTCTAATGAGAGGAACCCCTATTGTTTGATATCTGTTCCGTTAAGGATGGGCGTCACAGTTAACCTGTAATAACAAAGTGTGTAACACCCATTCCTCACCTTTGTCCTCATCTGGTTTCTTCAATCCCACAGTCTTTGGTCTGCCACGCCCCCTCCGGATGGGATCTGATTGGCTGTTGGTGCGGGGTCTCCTCCTGTTCTCCATGTCATTGGTCAGAGAAGAGTCTATCCTCTCTCTGCGGATGCGCTCCGTCCTCCTCCGCTTAAAGTCCAGCTTGTCTGAAGCACAAAATAGGGATGATGAAAAACAGTTCCCCATCACTTGGTTCCACAGCAGGCTGGTTGCCGGCCGACACTCCTGATTTCATCCTCTCTAAATCTTGTTTTTATCAATATCAATATTTAAACAATATTGTAAATATTATAAATACTGATTAAACTATTGGTGATTCTACTAATTATTTACACAATGAAATGTAAAAATGCTAAATATCTCCAGCTATGTGGATATAACGACGAATCAGCAAATAATAGAACAGCTCGACCCCTCTGGTAAGTTCAGAAAATTAAATCCAGTTATTGTAATGCAGTCGGTAAAACCCGGAAAAGACATCGTGTGATATTACGATATCCAAAACATAAGACGATATCAAGTCTCACGTCACAATATTCATTTAGCTGACGTGTGTTTAGTCTTCCCACGTATCAGGGATTCCATCATCTTGGTGAGCAGTGTTTGTCTGGACCATGGTTGATGAAAAGTTGTGAAATAAAAAAAGCGCCAATTTTTTTAAGCTTTAGACAAGATGTTATTTTCTGTGATAAGACTTTTGAATGTGTGATAGTAGGAAAAGCACAGGTGTCCTGGTTTGTCCTGTGTCTTGTCCAGTTGGTGACCCTTGAAGTGTTAAACTATTGTGAGAGGGTTGACGTTTGGCATGGACCTCGAATGGTTAATGTTAGGAGAGATAGTCAAAAAGGTTCTTGCTGTTTCTCAGATCTTAAATGTCAGTTCTGCAGAAAGACATGCAGAAAAGGAAGAAGACTGTTGGGAAGGCTGCATGTCAGTTCATTCTGTCTGAACGATCACAATACACTGTCCTCCTCTGCTAACAAACTGTTTCTCTATCAAGGTGTCAAATCATGTATACCCTTTTCCAATCAAATAAGCACAACTATTCAGTTCTGTTTCAACACAGGAAACATAATAACAAATGCGGGTGCACCCTGGAAGCAGGGTTACTACACGTGGAAAGCACTTGAACTTATTCAGTCTGTCTCTCCTTCAAACTCCATTGTGTCCAGTAACGTCCACTCAAATGTATCTTTGAAACATGATTGAAAACAAGCTTCAAGTCATTCCTGAAGGACACATGCATGTTGCATTTAGTAGGCCTACAGCTCAGACAGTGTGCTTCAAGAAGAACATGCAAACATGACAACAATAGATACACATATAGATATAGACAAGCAGATACACTTTATGAAATAAATAACAGTACTGAAAAATGTAATAGATGTAATACTATAGAATACCTATTATTCATAAAACGCCATAAATGATCATAACAAATAACAAGCTAATCATAGCATCGTGTCAGATGAGCCTTACCTGCTATGGCCGGAGAAGAGCGCTCATTTAATTTAGCATTGAGTAGTTTTCTGCTAATAAACACATAACCACACGGGCAGGACTTGCACGCAACAGGAATCTGTGAAGTCAGACAGGAAACATTCAGAAGATGTAACCAATGTTCAGATTGTGTTCCTTGGGAAAGAAGCATTGACAATGTTAGCTTGAGCCCTATTAGCATGGGGTTAGCATTAGCATTAGCTGGAGACCTTTTTTCTTCTTATAGTTATGTAACCATTTATATCTGCTAGTTCTGTAATAACTAGCAGTATTGTGACAAACAATCTTTTACAACTGCTTCATACAGCATCGTTCCACCCTCAGCAACTCAACATGTCTTATTACAAGAAGCAGTGGTTGTGTACAGCAGAGGGTCATTCTTGTAAGTGTTGTTCTGAAAGGTCACACAGGGATGTACGGCTGTGGCAGAGTCAATTCTCCATTTGTGTGACATTATGCCGAGAACTTTAACCCCCCCCCACTCCAGAAGGTGGCGGTAATGTACACAAAATCAGTTTGGAAATCACTTTGCCAAACACCATAAAGAACAAAAGAGAAGAAGAATCACTAAAACTTGAACTAGTTATTTTTTCCTTGTTACTTGTCCATTTTTGGAGAATACCAGCAACTGCAACCAATTGACGTAAACTGTATGACTAGAAAAGTAGCCTATCTTTTTTCACTTTCACTTTTTAAACATGGTTGGAAGGCACTGTTATGTCACTGGCTATAACAGCCACTCCTATGACCAAAGAGCTAAAGAAAAGAAGGACCATGGGATTCAAATGTACTTTGTAAGGGCATTTATTTTTGTGTATACTTTATTCAAAACAGCTGACAGCTGACCGGGGAAAGCTGATATATATTGACGGCTGCTGCCATTTCTATAGACACTATCCTCCAAAGATGGTTGAGACACCCCAGAATGCACTGCGATTCCCAGTTCTATGATATGGTGTTAATGTAGCCTGATGCAGGTAGCACTAATGTAGTCTAGAGATGCTAACCTAAAGCAGAAATGAGGAGAGGGCTACAAAGGTCTGAAAAGATCACTTCCCTCTAACTACACATTCTTTCACCCTTGTTGGGAAAATACTGAATGTACTCTTCTATATCAGAGAACACATGATAACAAAGGTATCCCAACTGTAGCTGTGTACGTAACCGGATGTATGATTACCTAGAAGAGCATCAGGACTGTTTTAGGCATATGATAGCTATGTGATTAACATGATGATTCAGCCTCTATGGAGATAGACATATGACTGTCATGTTTATTGCTTCTGCAGGTCTTAGCTAATCTGAACTAAACATTGAATACTGCTTTGAACCGGTATTCTGCATATTGTGACTGTAACACTCTCTTGTATATCAGCATGTCAAGGACACTATTCGGGGTACAATTTGTCCCACGCAGCTGTGTGTGATGACTACTTCCATTCTTGCAAGGATAATAAATACATGTATCCTGATATTGAAAACCAAGCCGGTGACGAGTGATATTTGTCCTAACAACCCTCATGCCTCCAGTGACATCACCTGAGATCGTATCAGACTTTGGCAGCTCCTGATTGGGCCTAAACATGTCTCAAGACACAATTGTACCACTTCCCAAGCCCTGCAGACTTTGATTAGAAAATAAAACCCTTTACATTTAAAAAGGCCCTAAGAACAAGCAACAACCAAACAATTAAAATCAAATGTTGACCAAGGACATCTTGGAATGGTTGGTATGCTACTTTGGCTTTATCAGGAGAATATGAGCTGTCGGTGTGTTGCTGTAATTCACCTTCAGCTTTGCATACTAGTTTAAGATTTAGAGAACCAACCATGCTAAATTCGATTGAAAATTGTAATTCAAACTCGTTGCTCATCGCTTTTCCTTATCTCATTGCTATTGCTCATCATATGTCCCATACTGCTCTGAAGTGTGCAGCAGTGTGCTTTGGTGCAGACAGGAAGCAGCTCTTTAACTGCTTACGTTTCTCCACCGTGCAACGTCAACAATCATCATGGGAGGATAACCAACGTTAAAATCACAAAATAAAGCATGCATTTGACTAAAATGTCATATATTGAAAACAAAATTGTCAGAAAACGTTATCAACTGAAATTCTATCGAAATGTGAGTAAATCCAAAGGCTTTCTGTGCTAACTTGTATCATTACACAGCGCGTGCGGGGTGGCCGCTGAAGCCCCCCCCGCCGCCTGGGTGTTTGTTGACTGATATGAACACAATTATCAACAATACACAAAGCTACACTATGAGTAACAACGTTCCCAATTGAACAAATGCAGTTTCCTCACCTGTTGGTCGCATTCAGGACAAGATTTAGTAGCCATTTTGACTTTCTTTGTTTTATTGGCCGACATAGTGCTTTTCCTCCTGCTGTACCGTAGCTACAGCTCTCTGTGAATCATGGACGACCCCTGACAGCCGCAGGTACCCCAACTCATGCGAGGAAGAAACACAGCGATGTGGCGAGATGACAACACGCCTTAGGAGCACACAGACATTACAGTGGACTAATAATGCTAAAGCTACGAGGCGAGCATGCGCAGAGAGTCCTCCTGCTGCTGTGTTGCATTCAAGTTCCATTGAAAAAAGTGGTACAAAGGCTCTCCGCATTCTGGTTCTCATCATTCAGTTCTATAATCAAGAGATAAACACAGATGGTTGGACTTGTTTTCCATACTTGCTGATATGAATAATGCAGAGTGTTTCTACCCTGTGCATGTGACAGGCGTGGGGTTTGGACAGCTTGTGCCTTGGTCTGACCCAATAAGGCGGGGTAAAAACATATTCACTCCAGCTTGGTATTTGAAACCATTGTTATGTAAATAATCATGTAATGTATATTAACTTAATGTATGTGTTGATTTTCATAAAGACTTAATATTTTTTTTTCTCGTGGCTTTTTACCTCAGTCTCAGAACCTTAAATGTCAGTCTTCTGCACCAATGCACTTGTCCCCTGGACCTTCACCTGCCTCGGCTCCAAAGTGGGCGCCAGTATTACCAGTAAATGACAGCAATAGCCAATAGCATGTGTCCTACACCTTAGGGCTTTAGCTACATAAGCTCTTCAACATCAGGAGGGTTCTCTACTGCAATACTAAAATATAAATACATTTTCTAAAGCACTGTTCTTAAGTACAATTTTGAAGTACTTGTACTATACTTGAGTATTTCCATTATTTATCAGCTGGTTGCTATCCTGGCACCAAACTGGTGGAACGAGTTCCCCATCGATATGAGGACATCAGAAAGGTAAAACATCTTCAGACGCAGACTGAAAAACCAACCTTTTAAACGGTTTTTTTAATTAAAAAAAAAAATCTTCTCATTTCTGAATGTTGCACTTCAAAAGGTTTGGCTTATTCCAATGAACTTGCTGTTTTGATTTTGTATCTTCATGGCTGATCTGAATTGTAAGTTGCTCTGGAGCAAAGCATCCATGGCTTTCTATGTGGAGTTGGAATGTTCTTCCAGTTTCTCCAGCTTCATCTGACAGTGCAGCCCTGCATGTTAACTGGTCCTCCAAATGGCCCTGGATGTGTGTATAGTTGTTAGCCTTTCTGCTTAGCGATGTGACTGACAGTCTGCCGGCCTCTTGCCTAATGTCCGCTTAGATCCAGCCTCTGTTCAGTGTATTATATTCATATGCCTTGTGTAAATTAACAGAATGCACATATGTATTGTTAATTTCAATTTTATTTCAGCAAATGACAATGACAATTGCTATTTCATCTGCTTTTTTATTCATCTGATTTACATGTGGGTTTACACACAGATTTAAAAAGGGGAGAGAACAAATCAATAATAGCTAAGAAAGAGGAATCAGCAGACAATGTGGAATGCTGCAGCAAACATGTACATCATCATGATCTCACCATGGCAACTTGTCAACTAGCACACAGACCTGAGGAACCCTGCACCCCCCACAACAGATTTGTCTGAGACAAGCGTCACTGAGCAACAGGATCTCATTGAAAAACTAAATGATAGAACAGTCAGACATTATTGTTTGTTGTATTCATGTACAGCAAACTAAAAACCAAGCCTGTACAAGCTCACTGAAGCATGCACACACATGCTGCAGCTCTCAATCCATTGGGGAGGAGTCCGGAAATAAAATACATTATGGAGTTTATAGAGAGATGGAGAGATACATCTGATGTTGTTAAAAAGAAGCACTGCTTTAGTATGAGGATAGACTCTTTCGAAAAATACTACTATTTCTCCACCTGCAAATAACTCGATTTTTGAGGTCATTTGTAATTTCGTACAGAAGGATTGAGGATCATGCCACACAACTCTGAACTGAATAGGCTGGCAAGATGTAGAGACGTTCTGTTCTAACATCAACAGTTAGTGCCTATCCTGTAGGGCCAAGGGGGGAACTAGCTTGTATGCAACACAGCTGTAAAACCACTGCTAGATTCTGTAGCCATAATACACTCACGCTAATACATTCACTTCTCAATATGGGAAGATGTGAACAAGTGATGACTCAGTGGAAACACCTAGAGCAGCAAGTAAGTCTACTACTGACATGAAATGATACGGGTTAGAGACAGAACAATGGAGCAGGACTTTAGAAAGGACACACTGAAGCTTGCTTCTTCAAATGTAACATCTCCAGCCTGCTGCAGAAACACGTCCTATAGTGAGGGACAGTGAGGAGGGAATTATGCAGAAAATTAACAATAATTATAATAATTATAAAATGAAGGAATGAGTTCTTTTAGCTCTTCTTGACATTTATTGTTATTCCCATCCTACATGATGGGATTGAATGTGTTCTTGTGAGTGTATTCATAATATAGTTAAACATCTAGTTTTAAAGCACCAGGCCCTCATAGGCGGGCCCCTCGGCCTCAGGGGACTCCCTCTGCAGTCGCAGGTGCTCCAGTGTGTTTTGGAAGTGTTTGTTGATCTGCTCCGTCTCCTCGCTGGCCTCCATGTTAGGGAGATCTTCCCTGATCTTCTGGATGAGCTGGTTTAATACCTGGACAGTGACCTGGGGGGGGGGGGGGATAGCGTTAGAGGGAGGCACTTTATGGACTCTCATATCATCTAAGCAACTGTCAATGTGTTTTGAAAGTTAAAAACAATAGAAGAGTTGACCCCCCAATTTGATTGTATATTGTGTATGCAACGAGCCCTTTGTTACTGTAGACATGCTGCTGCCAGTACCACACTGTTGTTCTGACTGGTGGTGGTGGGCGTAACGCACAATGAGGCGTAGCAACTCGCACAAAGAAGAATGCTTGCTAGCAAACATGGGTGTTAACAATTGACGAATCAAAATTGTTTATAGTGGCTTTTTAAATATTTTGAGTGATGAAATGCGTTAAAACATGTTGAGGATTACACACACTTACATGTTGGTTAGTAACATATTTTAACATATGAAAACAGCTAAGCAACTTTGTTTACAAAAGAACCCTGTACATTTCAGTATTAATATAACTGTTTTTTTATTATTTAAAATAATGCAACTTGCACACTTGTATAATATATGTTTATATTCTCCTATGTTTATAAAGTGTGTTTAAGTAGTAGGCTGGTCTATACCAGTGTATTCTAACCTATTCTGTATTTGATAGTGTATTATATAGATAATGTAATGTATGCATTTACTGTTCATTTATTTGTATATGATATGACATTTCGGTACCACTTTACAATAAGACTACCCTTATAAAGGGTTTACAAATAGTTTGTAATTAATTTATTAATTAGGTTGTGAACACTTTATAAATCATTAATAAGCTTTTATAAGACATGAGATAAACAGGGCAACTGTGACCGGTTGCTTGCCAAATAGTGAGCCCACATTTATCTGTACTGCTAAGTCTTATTATAAATGGTAGTAACTCATTAATAAATGGTGATTTGTTTAACACTTAACAAGGCTTCCTTTTGGCAGTTATAAATGTTAGTAACTCATAAATAAATAGTCATAAGAGATGCCAAGAAACATCAAGATGGAATGGGGGGAATCAACTCGGTGAACAACAGATAAGAAGGCTGATGAAGAAGACAAAGTAAGCTAAGTAGCCAATATAAGGCTTAGTCATCTTGCCAAATAGTGAGCCTGTGTTGATGTATGTTAGAACTGGTTTATAAATGGTTCTTAATGATTAATAAAGTATTTACAACCTAATTAATAACCTAATTATAAACCCTTTATGAATCCTTTATAAGGATAGTCTTATTGTAAAGTGGTACCGACATTTCTAACTCAATGCCTTGTAAACATGCTTCTGTAACTAACCAACTTCCCAACTCGGAATCAGTAAAGCACATCTATTCTCTTCTACAAACCCCAATTCAATGCAGTTGGGACGTTGTGAAAACGTAAATAAAAAACAGAATACGATGATTTGCAAATCCTTTTCAACCAATTGAATACACGACAAAGACAAGATAAGTAATGTTCAAACTGATCAACTTTATGTTTTTTTGCAAATATTCTCTCATTTTTTATTTGATGCCTGCAACACGTTCAATAAAGCTGGGAAAGGGGCGTGTTTACCACTGTGTTACATCACCTTCCTTTTATCAACACTCAATAAGCGTTTGGGATCTGAGGACACTAATGTTGAAGATTTGTAAGTGGAATTCTTTCCCATTCTTGCTTGATGTACACCTTCAGTTGCTCAACAGTCCGGGGTCTCCGTTGTTGTATTTTGCGCTTCATAATGCACCCCACATGTTCAATGGAGACAAGTCTGGACTGCAGGCAGGCAGGTCTAGTACCCTCACTCTTTCACTACGAAGCCACGCTGTTGTAACGTGTGCAGAATGTGGCTTGGCATTGTCCTGCTGAAATAAGCAAGGACGCCCCTGACAAACACGTCGCTTGGATGGCAGCAGCTGTTGCTCCAAAACATGCATGTCCCACAGAATTAAAGCTCACCTATTATGCTATATTTGAAAAATATATTATAGGGCCATATCTATACAAAACATGTCTCTGAAGTGTTTTGCATTGTAGCATGCCTCATACCCCTCTATTTCAGCCCTGTTACTAAAGTGCTGATTCTGTGACTGTAGCTTTAAAAATGTTACTGGGCTGATGCTGGCCCCGCCCCCATTGGAGCACGCAAGGCAAGCAGTGAGCTCTGTGAGGAAAAGAGTGGCTGCTCTGCCGGCAGATACAGCTAAATGCTGCCGTGATAAAACGCCATATTATGATCCAAACCACATCAAGGATTATTTCTGAAACAGTATGGAGCTCAAATGCTTCTTTTCTCTTGCGGGTTATACCACAAGGTGAGTACCTTTTATATCCTGCTTCTTTACACATACTCTCTCCAGTACAGGTTAGCTCTGAGTGTTAGCGATGCTTGCTAATGTAAACAAAGACCATACTACTTCCAAAACAGTCGGGCATTGTTTCTGATAGCAACGTTTCTGATAGGGCCGTGGGTCCACATTTCAGATATTACGTCATATCGGACGCAAATCTGGATCAGCTCCGTTGTACCCCCGTTTTTAGAGATTAGGGTACGGAAGAAAAGAGAGGGTTTTGTTTTCTGACACTTTTTGAGTATCCTGACACGCCGGGGACACATATTTATGTATAAAAGACATCAAGAAGTGCATTTTGTATGATTAATGGGCACTATCATACCATCACAGATGCTGGCTTTTGAATCTTTCTTTCCTCTTTAGCCGGACGACACGACATCCATGATTTTTTAAATGTGGACTCATCAGACCACAGCATACTTTTCCACTTTGCGCCAGTCCATCTCAGATGAGCTCGGGCCCAGAGAAGCCGGCGGTGTTTCTGGGTGTTGTTGATATATGGCTTTGGCTTTGCATGGTAGAGTTTTATCTTGCACTTGTAGATTTAGCGACTAACTGTGTTAACTGACGATAGTTTTCTGAAGTGTTCCTGAGCCCACGGGGTAATATCCTTTACAGAATGAGGACGGTTTTTAATGCAGTGCCGTCTGAGGGGTCGAAGGTCACGGCAATCATTGGAGTTTGTTTACGTGCAGAAAGTTCTCCGGATTCTCTGAATCTTTTGATGATATTATGGGCTGTAGATTATGAAATCCCTAAATTCCTTGCAATTGTATGTTGAGAAACATTGTTCTTAAACTGTTGGACTGTCACGCAGATGTTCACAAAGTGGTGAACCTCGCCCCACCCTTGCTTGTGAACGACTGATTTCATGGATGATCCTTTTATACCCAATCATGACACTCACCTGTTTCCAATTAACCTTTTCACATGTGGAATATTCCAAACAGGTGTTTTTTTTAGCATTCCTCAACTTTCCCAGTCTTTGTTGCCCCTGTCCCAGCTTTTTTAGAATGTGTTGCAGGCATCAAATTCAAAATGAGTGAGTGCAAAAAAACATCAAGTTGATCAGTTTGAACATTATATATTTGGTCTTTGTAGACCAGATATATTCAATTGAATATAGGTCGAAAAGGAATCATTGTATTGTGTTTTTATTTACCATTTACACAACATCCCAACTTCATTGGAATTGGGGTTTGTATTAAATTATATAATTTGCTGCAATACTTTCTAGAGCATCATTCCATTTCGCAATGATGCTCTCAATTTGTCTTGCGTTATACATCCTGCTCCCCTCCCTAAAAGCTCTCTCGGCCAGGTTGTGTCCGTTTAATAAATCCATATAAACACGTTACAAGGAAGCTTTAGTTGCCGTGTCTCTATTCTCCGGTCCTCCATGCTCCGGTCTCTAGCGTTCAGTCAACTTTTACTAACTCGTCAAGCCGGAGGCTCTTAGCTAGCTACTTCCGGTTTCCGGATAAGGGGTTACCAAAAATAAGAGTACTGCGTGTAGCAGTATAATGAAACATTACAGGTTGTGTGTGACATTAGTTATCATATTTATATATGTTTAGTAGGTTGTAGAAGTGCGCTCCAAAATATTTGTTGATCTTCTTTATTGGTATTTATTATTTTGATATTATTTATTTAAATGTAGATATAAATGTATAATTTATTTTTGTATTGGTTTTTCAGTTGAATTATACTTAAAGTGGACCTATCATGCTATATTTGAATAATATAGTGTAGGACCATACCGATATAAGGCATATTTATACTTTTTTTTTTTCAAAATACCAAACAGATCATGCATTTTAGCCATGCCTCATTTTGCTCAATTTGACAATTTCTAGCTCTGTTTTAGCAAGGGCAGATTCAGTGAGAACAGCACCATCTCCAGGCCTGGCATATGTACTACAGCGTCTCCAGCGCTTTCGAACGGCAATGGCCGTGGCTGTCTCCTCCTGATTGGTGGAGTTGGCCCAATAGCCGTAGCGCCACCGTCCTGACGTCAGGACAGTGTTCAAATCTGGATCAGTTTTTATCAGATCCGTTGCAGCCCCTTTTTTAGAGATTTGGGTATGGAGGAAAATAGAGAGGGTTGTGTTTTCTGACACTTGGTGAGTTCCCTGGAACACCGGGGACACATATTCATGTATAAAAGACGTACAAAAGTGCATTTTGCATGATAGGTCCCCTTTAAAGTTCAGGGTATTCAACTGTTAAAAACATACTGTTCACATTTATTTTTAAAAGTACAATAAATTGATGTTTTCAAAGTCAATGAATAATCGTATATCAATATTGGCCAAAAATAATCGTGATTATGATTTTTGCCATAATCGAGCAGCACTAATACTTTCCCTGTCTGGTATCTTTATCATCGGTTAGAGGTCCATGCTTTTCTCTCTCAGGGCAATCTCTTTTTTTCCTCTACATATATACAGAAACCAGGTTTTATCATTTACACAACATTATAGATGTCCTGTTCCTGCGGAGTTTAACTTAGAAACATAAAACACCCTTAACCATGTAGGCGTTAGTGTCTTACCGCATCGTTTTCCCGCTCATAGAAGCAGACGTATCTGTTGAGGATTTCAATGAAGAGCTGGACCTGCAGCGAGGGGTCCATACACTGGTTGGCAATCTTCAGGGCTTTCTTTAGGCACTCCATCACACGCTTACCGTCGCGGATCTGAAAATGGAACAGGATCAGTACGGAGCACGGACAGCTGCGGAACAGCTAGCAAAGTGACTGGGCAGGTTTATATATAACTGACTATTGTTAGAAAACATAAAGAACTGGTTCCCCTTTACTTTAATCTACATTTTACATGATGGCTTTTTGGGGCATTGTGGTAGCTTTAGGGTTTAAGATGTTGACCATGTGATCAACTTTCCTGTCACTTCTCTCATCAAGACAAAACTTGAATGGATAAAAAGCATCAAATGAGTTAAAGAAATGAAAGTGTGGTTAATGGACACCTGAACATTTAATAACTCTCCCCCACATACATAATGTCCCTATGTGAGTATATAAGTGTTTCCTACTTGTTTGCACCTGCTGTGGACGCCACTAAATCAACCACCCCTCCTCACAGTGAGTTTACTGATTCTGCACATTTTATTCCAGATGAAGTATGTTTGAAAATAGGAAGAGAATGATCCAACACACCTCCTCCCCGTTCTTCTCGGTGCTGCGTCCGGACCAGAAGAGGTGAGCGCAGATGCTGACGGCCCGGCACTGGTCGGGCTTCTTCAGCAGTTTGGAGGCAGCGAGCGCACACTGAGTCCTCAGAGGCTCGTGGTTCTCCTCGCTGAAACACCGCATCCGCTCAAAGGTCCCGATGATCAGCGTGATGGCTGCCAGCTGCGCTTTGGAGTCACTGATCTCATCCTCGTACAGAGAGAAGGCCTGGGGGGGGGGGGGGGGAGGTTGGTGGACAAGGAGAGAGGGAAGAAAATGACGGACAGAGGATGTGAGAGGGGTACTTTTTGTTTTATGTGATTTTTTACACGTTTGTCACAATGGATCGGTGGACTTTTATCTGCAAAACAAACCTACAGGTACAAATAAATAACCTGAACCTAAATAGTGTTTAGATCTTGGTCTCTTCTTTTAATAGTACACTCAAGATGCTCAGTGCTTCCTTTTTATAAAATCAACCTCATCACCTGTACCTTTCCCCCATTCCATACATATTTTACTTTTAAATTGTACATGAATCCATGAGAATAACAGAAACACATTTATAATTAGAGGAGTCACAGTCTTCAGGCGTTTTTATCTTAACCCCGGTACATTTGACAGGCCTGAGTTTTATGAAACACTGTACCTGGGACATGAACTCATAAGCTACAGTCTCGTGGTTCTCAAAGCCGATCTCCCCTGCGGCCAGCGCCCCCTGCAGGAAGAGGCGCAGAGGCAGCTCGGCCAGCTCCGCCTTGATAAGAGCACTGATGGTCTGATGGGCGAACGAGAAGATCTTCTGACACTTCTTCTCCCACTTGTCATCCTGAAGGCAGACCGATGTGAAGGCATGAAACAGGATGGAGGAAACTGTAAACACAGTATGTGAGTTAGAGTGAAGGACAGTTTGCTCACCGATGAAGAGTTCTCCTTGTATCTGAAGGCCAGCTGGTAGGCAGCGAACACCAGGGGGGGCAGTGTGTAGCGGATCCGCAGGTTCCCCCCCGCACCAAAGTGTTTCCGGGCTGTGTTCAGGATCTGACCACAAATCAGAGTGTTAGCTTGAATGAGCAGGCAGACATGGTCGCCCATCAACCACAGAGTCAGTTAGAGATACACACGTTTCAGATCCAAAGACTGCAGTAGAGTTTCACATTCTTTAAAGCATGTTTCCACGGCAGCCACTGATTGCATTTGTTTCTCTGCGATATCAAAATCAGCATGTAATCCATCGCAGTACACATCAAGTCTGAACTGGTGGAAAAATACTTTAAAAAGGAAACACTGCAGCAAGACTTCCTAAAGAGTCAGCAGTAACACAGTAGCAGATTAGTGTGTCTGTATTCATCTGTCAGGGGGGGATGGGAGGGGGGGGGGGGGGCCCACCAGGTACTGTTGATCCGGATCCTCAGAGTGGAGCAGGTGGATGAAACGTCCCACAAGGCTTTGCTCCTCAGCAAAGTCCTCTGGGTCAGGGTCATCAGCGGGTTGGTCCGGCTGGTCCTGGATCAGTGTGGATACCAGGGACAGGATGGCGTCCACCTAGAGAAACAGCGGGGGAGGAAATTCATGTTACGTTCTTTTATTCAAATTCCTTCCTGATTTTGGCAGGTGGAGCACTGTGATGAGGTCAGGGGTCTCAGTCAGAGAGTGACAGGAGTAAGGGGCCACACCTCATCAACTGAACTCAACTACACAGGGCCTTCATTTTGATTAATAACCTAGAAGCACATTTCCTCTGTTATGTGAAACAAAGTGAAAATGTACCCTCAGTGGGAGTAGTTTTCATATTCAGCCCAATGATTGTGTCAAAGCATTATATTGTATGTGTGCTGTACCAGTGGGCTGTCACGATAACAGGAGACAAAGAACATGTAAATATGTATATTGGTATTAACGATGGGCCAAAGTAGGAGTATTCATTTGGAAATAAAACCAAGTATCAATACCAATCAATAATGGTGCTTCCTAAATGCTGCGTAGTTACCGTGACAGTGTAACGATAAGATGCTCTAATGATGACAAAGCGAGTTTAGATTGGTCTCGTGCTGCACACACCAGCAGCTGGTTATACCTCAGTGTTTGCATATATAGTCACCACATTAGCAACGGCTTGTCGGGCAAGTTTTACAAATCTCCAAATGTCTTTCTTTCTTTCCTGTACTTGTGAGGCTGCAGTGACTTCCTACACACCGACAGGTTTTGATGGAGCAGCGCTACAGCGTATACAGTTTCCTGGTCTACTAGACTAAATCTTGAGGCATAACTGTAATTTAAAGGGGACCTATCATGCAAAATGCACTTTTGTACGTCTTTTCTACATGAATATGTGTCCCCGGTGTTCCAGGGAACTCACCAAGTGTCAGAAAACACAACCCTCTCTATTTTCCTCCATACCCAAATCTCTAAAAAAGGGGCTGCAACGGATCTGATAAAAACTGATCCAGATTTGAACACTGTCCTGACGTCACAGAAGTGGCGCTACGGCTATTGGGCCAACTCTCCACCTATCAGGGGAATGTGGGGTTGGGCCACGGCCGGCCATTGCCGCTGGAAAGCGCTGGAGACGCTGTAGTACATATGCCAGGCCTGTAAGTGGCGCTGTAGTCTGCCACAAAAGCTAAGAAGACTTCCCGCGCATGGTTACCATGGTTACCCTTCTGTTTATTCTCCGCTGTGGCTTTTTTTCTCCCTCCCCGAGGCAAGCGTTTGCTCCCGCTGCTTTAATTCAATGCAATCCCTCCCCGTCGAGGCAAGCACTGTAATTCTCTCCGGTTAGTCCACCAGCAGATGACAAACACCCACCTCTCCGCCTCTTCCAAGGAACGAGGGGACCGTGCGGCAGAGTTTCAGTTAGGTTTTCTTTCGCCGGTCAAGATGTCCGTTAAAGTTTAAATCTTCCGGACAAAATTAGAAAAGTGCCGGTCAAAGGTCTTCTTTGTTATTTATTGAGCTTTAAAACAAATGAATAACGACTCTATATAATAATAGGCTATAATAAAACATGGAGGACGGAGATCTATTTTTCTCCCCCTCTTCTGACTTGATCAGAGCGGCTCCCCTCTCCTGCAGGGGGGCGTGGTCAGCTGCAGCTCACAGAATCAGCCCCCTGCAAAAACAGGGCTGGAGAACAGCAAATAGAGCGAAATGAGGCATGGCTAAAATGCATGATCTGTTTGGTATTTTGAAAACAGAAACGTATAAATATACCTTATATAGGTATGGCCCTACAATATATCATTTAAATATAGCATGATAGGTCCACTTTAATGGATCACAGATCTAGGGATTCTACTCCAAGCAACAAGGAGGTAAGACGGGCGGTGAGGTGAATGTTCGTAGTGGCCAAACAGTGGTACTACACACCCGTTTCATTAAGGGCCCAACAATTACATTCGGAAAGTGAAATCTGTAAACCAGCAGATTATTTTTGACCTGAATCCACTTCCCATATTAAACACTTAGCTCTTATTAAATCACAATATTTTAAAATGTTTAAATGCGCTAAAAGCCGAATCCGGAGTTATACAAGACAGACGTGACACTGACGTGAAGGCGAGCGGAGGCGGGACTTAAGGAAAACACTGCCCTAGTTAGTGTAGGCAGTGGTTCCCAACTGGGGGTACGGGGACCCCTAGGGGACTGGAAGGGAGGGGGTTTGTAGAACTGAATAAGTGTCAAGTTTAAATGCATTTGTGTAGAGGGTGAGTTATTCAAGTGATTTTCATCTAATGAGCAGTTGGGTTAAAAAGGATTACAAAGGGTTTAACACAAGATAACATGTAGGCGAATCATCACAGATGAGTGGGGGGGTTCTTATAGAAGGGAGAACAGCTCAACGGGGACACGAGACAAAAAGGTTGGGAACCACTGCTGTAAGGGATCAACTTAAAGCAGGACTTGTTGTTGTACAATGCTCCATGTAGTGCTGCAGGGGAAAATGTGACGTTAAACATACACCACAGTTTCGTATGGCGGACTCCTGTTGCCGTTAGAAAGTCAACTCTAACAAGAAGAACAGCTAAAAGGGTGTGATAGATAGCCTAAGATCACAATATCCGTCTGTCCGTGTGTGTGTGCGTGTGTGTGTGTCCGCCCGCCCCTCCCGTCACAAAGCAACAATGCCTTCAGAGCTGAAGCAGTGGTGAGGGTCTGACCTGCTCCTGGGCCAGGATGGTGGTGTTGTAGTCCAGCGTGTTGCTCAGCACGTAGCAGCTCATGCTCTTGCGTGACTCGAAGTCGAAGTACTCGAAGAGCGGAGGGAAGTGTTTGAGCTGCAGCACCGTCAGGACGTTGTTGTAGGTGTCCACGGGGATCTTCAGCAGGCGGGTCAGCTCCTTGGACACTGCGCTGCTAGTCGCTATGCTGGAGGGGGGGGAACCAGAGAGACACGTGAGAGGGAATGCAGGCCAGGCAAAGAGGGTAATGATCTATTTTAAATTCTGTCAGTGATAACAACATGTACATGGAGTAACAGTGCTTCATGAGTATCATTTCTGATCACTGTCCAACTTTATTCTCCCTCCTCTCTTAACAATTACTCTTCCCTTTTCTGTCTCTCGCCTGTGAACACAAACGTCTGGAACTACCTTGACACATTTTGTCTTCTTGTGTGTCAGGACTTTGAGGACTTACTGTTCCAGGTTGAGCTTGTTGAAGATCTCCACAGTACTCTCCAGGACTTTATCTACGTAGTCCACACGGTCAGGGTAGCACTTCATGGCCAGGTTGATGAGAGAAACCTGCAGAGAGACCACGTCCTCTGAGGGCATGTCCTGGCGAGACTGGAGGAGGGTCAGAGATTGTGAGGTTAGTCCAACGTTAGTATTGGTGGTGCTGGTGCTTTTGTGAAACGTATTACTGTTAGTACAGGCTGCTACTTCTCTACTTCAGACTGTAACGTCACTATTGATATTATAACAGTGATATCTGCTAAATGTATTTAATGAATTACAGGATTCTATTTATTTAGTTTTATAGTGCTACTACTTATTTTAACCCTGGATGTGTTCTTATTTTGTTAAAGTGTGCTTGCATCTTTATTTATAATATTTGGATGTGTAGGCATTTTTAATGTATCTGTCTCTTTGCTGTAACTCTGTGGGACTTGTAGAGGATTTCTCATTCTGAAAGTTAAAGCCCCACAGATTAGGAGGGATAACCTCCCTCCTCACCACAATAATTAACATAGAATCATATTTACTCTATCAAATATTACACTTACTGCAATTTGGATATTGAACTAGGCCATTTTGCCATTTTGATCAAATGTAAATGACCTGTGCAGACCTAACTATTAAACACAGAAAACGTTTCCTTGTAACTCATATGTATTACATATAAACTACACTGTAGTTGTGTGACATTAAACCTTTACATCAGAAGTGTTAAGGTCTGATGTAGTCAGACTGCTGCTTTGCTATTTTGGATTGGTTTGTACTGATTGATGAAATGATCTTTTAAACTCACTATAACCTACTTGAATGACGGTGGCTACTTGTTGAGAGAAGATGTCGAACAGTTTGATCTCAGCTGGAATGCCGGGCCCGTCTTCTCGATGAGCGAACAGAGCCAGTCTGAAACAAACAGAAACTGAGTGCATCCACCAACAGGCAGCAGAGCTGGTCACTTCACACTAAATCCACTTTGTTTGTAAATTACACTCAACTTAATTGTTCATTTATCTTATTTTCCAAAGATGCAGTGATACTCTCCCGGTGAAAAGACAAAATATTTTTGACATTAGCTAAGCCAACTAGCAGAGAGGCTAAGTGTACCTGTCAATGAGGGCGATGATGATGTTCTTGACGTTGACGTGTTGGTGGAGATCAGCACAGGAGCGCAGGAAGGGGTTGAGGGTCTGAAGGTGGAACTCGTCTGGGAAAACCTGACAACAGAAGAGTCTTTTAGTCCAGGAGGGGAGGGCTCTGCTGTAGCAGGGTGTGGAGGGACAGTGGATTCTGTATAGAAATGGATTCAGTGCAACAGTGCAATCTGTTCTCCTCCTCTTTCTTCAACAATGAAAACCCCTACCAATAAGTGTAGCTCCACTAACAGAACATCCAAACATGTCCTGATGATAGTTACATTTGAGCATTCAAAGATATTCTTATAAAGGGTTGAACAACTGTGCAATGAAGAGGTCCTCGTTTCCCAGGAATAAAAAGGGAGACAACATCAAACACATTGTTTCCACCAAATTGTCATTTAAACATTGGTACTACAGAGGGCCGCAGTGACGCGTCCTAAAACCCGGAAGTAAGTTAGCATTTTTACCACGTCCGGTTCCTTCGACAAAAAGCAATGGGATTTCTCCATAGGATTTTGGAAAATAGCTGGAAATAAGGTTGTGTTTGAGACAAATTGAAGAGACAGATCACGTTTTGTTCTACGACATTAAATACATCAGCAGTGACCCCACTGGTGATTTTTGAAGAGTTGACGTGTCTGAAAAACGATGGTTGTTACCAAGTGGCTGAATAGAACTACAGAAGTTGTCGAGGCCGTTTTACGTCATTACGCCGAACACGTAAAACACTCCCTCTAAGTTTGTTTGCCCTGTTCTGCTTGAAAGCAAGTACCTGCCTCCTGCAAACTGTTCAAACAAACGCTTCAACTTGTACCATTTAGAATCTGTATGTTTGAATATGGATCTTAAGTTGGCGTGACGTTGAAGCAGCGACCCTGCTGTAGTTCCTTTATAGCATAACGTTAGCATTTTGCTTCTGGCGACTAGATTTATGATTAGAAAATTATAAAAGTAGGGTAGACATGTGGATATTATCCGGCTGAACAAAAGGTGATTCTGTCTCTTAAATGTGTGTCAACCACAGACCTTATTTCCAGCTATTTTCCAAAATCCTATGGAGAAATTGCATTGCGTTTTTGACGAAGGAACCGGAAGGAGTTTACTTCCGGGTTTTAGGACGCGTCACTGCGGGTTCTCTATTAACTAGCCCTTTTATAGATTGCCCTATGTTGTTGCCTATAAGATTGTTCATATTGTACTTTCATTTAATTATTTGGAATAGACTTGCATTGGATTATGCAATAATGAACTCAGGCTTGGGGAGGGAATGGATTACAAGTACTGGAATGACATAATCACCAGACAAAGAAAGGTAACTGCATTCCTTTAAGGTGAAATAAGAAAAACGTTTAATCAGATCGTTTTATAAAAATGGGGATAACTAGCAGGATTACAATGTTACAATACATTTACAAATAAAGATCAGTGTATCATAGGTAGACGTAAATTATATTAAATATCTTTTTGTGGACAACTGATTTATTCAACAAAAATATTTTAAGCTTTTAATAAAGTATGAAACTAAAACAGAATTTGTAAACCATTATTTTGTATGCCTAGCCTATAATTTAAGATGACACATTTTGATCCTAAATATCTTTCTTTCTTCTTTTCTATGGTCACATTGTTCTGTTGTCTTACATAATAAACTTCAGTAAATCTTATTGATATTTATTTTCACTTTAAAAAAAATGTGCATTGCATTTGATATTGAGGTTATCCAAAAGGTAAGTATTCAGGTTACTTTTTGACTTTGATAGTCATATTCAGACTTTTACAGGTTACGAGTAATTGTAACAGTTTACATTCATGTACTGTATACTGACGATAATAAAAGCTGTAATCCCCGGTGTGTACCTGAATGATGCACTCCATGAGATACTCCTGAGCCAGAGAGTCTCTGCAGTTCACCACCTGCTCCAGCACTCCTGAGAGAACAATCTGGAGACACAAACAGCAAACACATTCACACATAGAACAAAATGCCCTATAAGCCAAATGATTGTACGTTTGTGTCTTTGGATTTTGCCGTAGTGAAGGCCGAACCATCATTTTGTTGTCTTAGAACAATTTAAAATAACCAGACAAATCTGGCCTCATCTTTGTTTGCTCTATTGAAAAAGTTGTACACTTTCACATAATTAATTTCCCAACCTTAATGACTTGATTGTGCACACACCTGTTTGTACTTCTCCACGTTGACCCCCTCCAGCTGGCTGAGGCGCACCAGGTTGGTTCCCACCAGGATCCTCAGCTCCTGCCGCTCCTTCTCCCTCTTCTCTCGGTCTCGGCTGTGTCCCTGGTGCTGCATCCTCACCCACAGCTTGTTCATCTCAGCAAAGTTGAGCAGGACAAAGTCGATGGAGTCGTTGATGTCACCAGTCATCTCCTCTGTTCCCCTGAGATCAAAACATGAAGAGTTTAGAGCAGTATTCAAAACTAAAGTAAAGTTCCCTTTCTATCCAAAATGGAAACGAGAAGCGCAATATCAATATCATGTTTTGTGTGCAGAGCTGTGATGAACCGATTCATGAAGTTAATTGTGTCAGTGTTCTTCGAGTGTTGTACTTGTACATTAGTCTTATATTTAGAAATCCCAAAATAAAAAATAATAAAAAAAAGCTTTTCCTGTAGTTATCCCATTAGGCGCGTTCACACCGCAATACTTTTCCCAATTTAGTTCCGATACAGTTCCGAAATGTTGCGTTCACACCAAAAAAATAAAATTAACTAAAATTAGTTCATCAGAACCTTTTTTACCCCCTTTTCCGTCCCTGCTAGAGAGCAGGGACTTTCGTGGGAGAAAAAGGTTCCTATTTCTGATTGGCTGGGCAAACCACGCCCCGTAAAACTCCCAAAAAGTTTTGTGAAGCCGCCATTTTATTTTCCTCGCATTAGCATTATTAGCATTAGCATTAGCCCAGCGCACAAACGCAGAGAGACTAACTTATGGCAACACAAAAGAAAACATGGGAGCGGTGGAGATGAGGAGGTGTCGGCGTTCTGGCGATTTACTCGGAAGGCTTCCGCAGTTGGGGACTGAAGCCAGTCCCCAACTGCGGGACTTCGGGTGGCAGTATACGCCGTGAAGTTGTTTGCGGCCTGCCAGTAAACCCAAAGCAGAAGAAGAAGAAGTGACGTCAGCGGCTTCATTTGCCTAATCCTCCCTCAGGAACTTATTCCAGTGTGAACGCGATCTGTACTTAGTTCATGAGAACTAAAGAGTTCTGATGAACTAAGTTCTGATTAACCTTTGTGGGAAAAGTACTGCGGTGTGAAAGCGCCTATTGTGATAGTTTCTTAAGAATTATATTTGTAAATTTCCTTTTTTGGTATTATGTTAAAGGTGGGGTAGGTAAGTTTGAGAAACCGGCTCGAGATACACTTGTTGTTATATTCCATGGAATGCTCTTAACATCCCGATAGCAATGAATATCTGAAGTGCTTTGACAAAAAATCCATAACAAAATTTCATCTGTGGAAGCCGTAGTACTGTAAAAAGCACGACCAATCATTTGAGCCGGCCCGGTTAAAATAACTGGATGGCCTACCTGCCTGTCAGCCTTCCATCTGTGCACAAACTCATTGGTCATGTGCGCGTTCGTGTGTGTTGGAGGAGGGGCTCTGTAAGGAAGTGGCAGATTTTTTCCGGCTGTGTATTTTCAAATTCTAGCGATCTCGAGCTGGTTTCTCCAAAATTACCTACCCTACCTTTAACTTTACATTCATTCTCGTTTTCCAAAGTATTTCAAATTCAGATTGTAAAACCTTTGTTTTTCTCTCCCTGATTTGCTGTGAACTTGGTTAAGACATAAAAGGTGCTGCTTTACAGGACTGATGACTTTTCAACATTCTGATGGTAGTATCAGGATGATGTGGATGAGGGACACTCAGAGAGGCTGTCTTACTCTGGCTGCTCTCCATCGTCTGGCAGGATGTTGCGGGTGCACTGCAGGAGGTAGTTCCTGAGGAAGAGGCCCCTGAGAGGGTGCTGGACCCCCCGACACATCTCCACCAGGTCCTTCAGGATGTCCTTACGGGACTGAGGGAAGGAGCGCACGTACACCACCCCCACAGTGATGAGCAGGTAGCTGGGAAGGGAGGAGCGTAAGAGGATTGATGGTGAAAGACAACAGAAATCTGTATGAAGTCTGACATGTGCAGTATCTATTAGAGAACATGCTGAACTTAAATGGAGTGGGCAACAAACTGACTGATCAACATTAATTTATTGCAGATAAAAAGTGACAAAATGATTCATTTCTCCATCTCTGCCTCCACATTAGTGTTTCACATTAGATTGTAGAAAGCTGAAGTCACCATTAGTCTACATGTCTAAACCCTAGCACTACACTAGGAAACAATTAAGTGAAGAACATACCAAGTATGAATAGTGAATTAACTAGAAAACCATGATGCATTTGCCTGGTATTGTTTGAAAGATAAGAAGCTAATGGAAATAAATGATATTACAGCATGAATGGAGGTGCAATAAAGCAAATCATATTCATATGTTTTGCACCTAGTATATAATCACATTTTTGAAAGAAATGACATCCTTAGAACAAATAGTATTAATGGAACTACATGTAATCTGCTCCTCTTCACTACAACTTGGATTGTACATTTGATTTGCTTAAATCCAACATCATGACAACATATAGAAATATACACTCAGGGCTCTCCTTGCTTTGGGCATCTTTACTGTTAACATGTTTACAGTTTATTGGGAGTTTTATTTCATTTCCATCGACCCATTTCACAAATAACACAAACATCTACAGTTGAGGCCTAAATGATTAGCCCCCCAGGAGTTATGGAACATTTTCCTAAAATTCTTCCCAATGTTTCCAGTATTGATAAAACTTGATATAATCAAACATTCACCAGTGCTATTTAGTAGCTTTTGGTACATTTTGGAACATAAAATAAGTTTTTAGGCTTGCTTTATATCAAATATAGTGAAAAATGGGTTGGTCAAAAATATTAGCCCCCATGTGAATTTTTGCTTTCAAAAACACACCTAATCAATCAATCAGCTTTCAAACCACACCTAATCAATCAATCAGCTTTCAAACCACACCTAATCAACCAATCAGCTTTCAAGCCACACCTGAGCATTCAATCAGCATAAAAGGACTCCAAGAAACAGGCACTTGAATACCTTATTGAGAGGGACTATACTACTACTCCTACTCACCATGCCAAAGACAAAGGAAATCAGTCTTGAGCTCAGAAAGAAGATAGTGGCTATACTGCTATGTCCAAGTGCTTCACAGTGTCTAGAACTGCTGTACGTTGCATCATTGCGAAGTACAAGGAGACACATTCTGTAAGAAACAAACCTAGGCGTGGTCGAAAGTGCAAGATTTCAAGAACTCTGGAGAGGAAAATAGTCAGAGATGTCAGCAAGAATCCCCAGACATCTGCCAAGATGATTGTTGCTGACCTGGCCTCTTCTGGAGTTGATGTTTCAAGGAACACAGTGGTGAGGGCTCTTCATTGTGGTGGGCTACAGGGCCATCGTCCCAGAAGAACCCCTTTACTCAAAGAGCAGCACATCAGAGCCAGACTGAGGTTTGCCCGTGAACATTTGAAAGGTAAAGATGAGTTTTGTAAGTCTGTGCTTTGGTCTGATGAGACTAAACTGGAACTGTTTGGGCACATGGATGTTGCTTATGTTTGGCGAAGAAAGGGAGAGGCCTTCAACCCTAAGAACACATCATGCTGTGGGGCTGTTCTGCAGCCTCAGGCACAGGGAGCCTTGTTCCGGTGGAAGGCATCATGAAAAATTTAAATGATGTTGACATTTTGAGGGATAATATGAAAAAATCTGCTCTTAGTCTTCACTTAGGTCGTCGCTGGGTCTTCCAACAGGACAATGACCCAAAGCACACATCAACATTGGTCCAACAGTTCCTAAATGACACCAACACCAAGGTGCTGGAGTGGCCCGCACATAGCCAAGATCTGAATCCTATTGAGAATCTGTCGGGTGCTCAAAGTGAATGTCCATGCTCGGAAACCACGCAATTTGGACCAGCTGGAACAATTTGCAATGGAAGAATGGGCCAAAATCCCTCAAGAGACCTGTGCCAACCTAGTCAAGAACTCTAAGAGGTTGTTGTCAGTTGTGGCTCAGAAAGGGTGCACTATTGACTATTAATGGCCTGGGGGCTAATATTTTTTGACCAACCCATTTTTCACTATATTTGATATAAAGCAAGCCTAAAAACTTATTTTATGTTCCAAACTGTACCAAAAGCTACTAAATAGCACTGGTGAATGTTTGATTATATCAAGTTTTATCAATGTTGGAAACATTGGGAAGAATTTTAGGAAAATGTTCCATAACTCCTGGGGGGCTAATAATTTAGGCCTCAACTGTATATTAAGTATTAACAGGTTTGTCATTTTTTTAAATGTTCAAATATATGCCTCAGTCCTGGAAGACTTGCCGATAACGCTGCCCTGTCCTGTCTCTCACTGCCCCAGCCTCAGCATCCCTTATGTCCATGTAGTCATTCAATGATGTCCTTCTCTAGCAAACCTAACATATGCCTGATCAAATATTTAGGCACGAAACAGATTTGTCACCATGACTGTAAAATGTCATAAAGAAGTCAATAAAAGGGGGCAAAGAAATAAATAAAGTGTTGCCTTAGTGCGCATTTAAAGGATCAGAATTGTTTGTTTCCAGCCAAACCAAACATGTTATTGTAAAGAGGGAATAACTCAGATATTTTGAAGACAACGTATATTGGTTAGGGTCATGTTTGATGTTGGTACTCACAGTCTGGGGATGATGTTGCCTGCGTACTGCACCAGCTCATACAGATCTGCCACCTTACGTCCTTTGGCAAACTCATCAGTCAGATACACTTCCAGGTAGTGCAGTTCATCAGAGATAGCCATGTCTAAAGAGACAGTTAGGGAGCAGTGCACAGCCTCCATGGACCCTCCACAAACAACATGGGCTCATTATTGCAACTGCTTTAACCCTCCCTCAAGTTTCTACACAGGCAGTGTTTGGCACAGTACTGCACAGGTCACCAGAGTTTCAGAAGCACTCAAACTCCAGTACCAAGTCACTGGAGTTCCACTCTGGCATCTCCAAGACGTATCACCTGTACTCTACTATGTCTGCTTTTTACTCACATTGAGTTAGCATATATATTTGCTCAAATTGGAGCTCTCAGCTATCCCTTTTTGAGTTGTTAAAGTCTCAGTATTGTGAACAGCCGGTTATAATGATAAAGGGGAAAAAACGAGTCAAACAGCCTAAACAAGTCACGGTCAACTTAATGGTGACACATTCAGATATAAAAAAAATGCTTTTGTGGCAAATCTGTTCTTACATGATCAGCAAGCACAGCTCACCTAAACTGGCTTTAAATGGAGTCACTGTCCATAAAAACAAGTTTTGTCAGATGCTTTTCTAGGAGACAGGCCAGCACTAGTTATTAGACAGACAAACATGTTTAGATAAGATTAAAGGGGACCTATCATGCACTTTTGTACGTCTTTTATACATGAATATGTGTCCCCGGTGTTCCAGGGAACTCACCAAGTGTCAGAAAACACAACCCTCTCTATTTTCCTCCATACCCAAATCTCTAAAAAAGGGGCTGCAACGGATCTGATCAAAACTGATCCAGATTTGAACACTGTCCTGACGTCAGGACGGTGGCGCTACGGCTATTGGGCCAACTCCACCAATCAGGAGGAGACAGCCACGGCCATTGCCGTTCGAAAGCGCTGGAGACGCTGTAGTACATATGCCAGGCCTGTAGGTGGTGCTGTTCTCACAGAATCAGCCCTTGCAAAAACAGGGCTAAAAAAGTGTAAACTGAGCGAAATGAGGCATGGCTAAAATGCATGATCAGTTTGGTATTTTGAAAAAAAAAAAGTATAAATATGCCTTAAATAGGTATGGTCCTACACTATATTATTATAATATAGCATGATAGGTCCACTTTAAATACAAAATGTATGTGAAGTTACAAAGATATATGTGAAGTGAGCACAAATGTATCATAGCATAGCCATATGTCCGTTTAAGTGACATTTCCAACATGCATACATTCTAGCTGTTGAGGATACAGAGCTCATAGTAGCTCTTTGGAGACAGCATGGAGGTCCGGAGCTCCCCCAGCATGTTGGAGGCGTGCTTCAGGGCATCCATCAGCTTGTTCTTGTCCTGCAGGAGCAAACCAATCAGGCTGTTAACATGCACAATAATCACAACTGGGGCTCAACCCTAACCCTTCAATTGTTTGTCAGATAGTTTACTTTTTTTTTCTTCATGGTCAACCTTTATATTTTCACTCTTATAGTTCCGTTTTATCTTCCATTTTGAGATGTTTATTTTCTACTCTTTTATTTCGAATGATGTGCAATACTTGTTTTACATGCTGCTGCATTGAAAACATGTCCCACTTTGGGATTGATAAAGTATATCTTATCTTATTCAAACAATCATGCTGTCGTCACTACTGTACTCTACATGCTGGTTCATTGACTTCCCAGTGAGACCACATACAAGGAGACATTTTTCTTTACTTTAAATACTCTTTTAGCAACTTATTGTAAAGCATGCCCATAGCACTCTCACATGTATTCCTGGGGGTTTTGTTTTGAATATGGGTTAACTCCAATATGTCCAACAAATATGTACAACCAATGTGGAATAAGCTGTAATTTATTGTAGGCATAAATCTGAACGAGGGGGGTCACAAGAACAGGAAATTCGGTACCATGCCAAAATTCTGTGTATGTGATGGTACTCTTTATCACCCAGCTACCAGGACGATACTGACATTGTACTGTCGCCCCTGGGACGATAGAAAGTGTGATTGATTGCCCTGATAATGCTACACTGTGAACAACAAATCCTTGTTGAGAATTAGTAGCAGGAGAGAACGGTAACGTTAGCTGTGAGCTAGTAGCTGTAAGCAGAGCTAACATTTAACGTTAACAGAGCGAGGTTCCATTGAATTACATTATGATGTCTTCAAACTCCATTTGGCAGAGGAAAATTATAATATTTGCAGTATGTATAAATGTTATCTCGTAAAGTGTAGTAAATGAGAAACTCGAATTGAGTGTTTGAAGTATTTGACATATGAAACAGTTCTTATAGATTTTAAATGTGGTTATTGTGATGTGTTCAACTTCCTAACCCTAGCTCTAAATGTAAATTGTTTTTTTGTTTATTACCATGGTATTGAATAGGATATAAAGAATTGTGTCATTTTACTGGTAATGGAAGAGACTTCTACATTTCTGTTAGGGTGACATCCTGTTGGCTTGACTATAGATGTTCAAGGTACACTAATGTCCTTTGATGCCAGTTGATGAATCCATTTCCATAAAGAAAACTGATCAATGGAATAGAAGACGTGCCAGTATTTCCCTGATTATAGGTCTTAAAGGCAAGGTAGCTCACCACCCAAACAGTGGGTTTAAACAATTATTCAACTAAAACCATATATTTCACATACTGAAGCAACCTACCAGGCATCGCTTCATCTGGAAGGACTGGACCTTCACAGCCTGCACCGCTTCATCCAGAAGCTTCTCCTGTTCGTCCTGGGGAGACTGCGAGGTGGGCTGAAGACCAGGAGATTAAACACAATTTATTTCAATCCGAGCTTGATTTACACCGTGATGAATAAATCAATACAGTCCAACAGTCACTTTAACCAGTGCTGGAGAAGTACTGAAATGTTTTACTAGAGTGATACTACATTGTAAAACTACCTGGTTACAACTCAAAGACCAGCATTCAACATTTTACTGAAGAAAGAGTACTGGCATCGAAAAATATTATAAAAAACATTAATAAGTTTAAAAGTAAAAGTACTCATTATGTGCAATGGGAAAGTCCAGAATCATATACATTAAAGGTCCCATGTCATGGCCATTTCTACTGATCATAATTCCATTGTTGAGGTCTACTAGAATAGATTTATATTGTTCAATGTTCCAAACTCACATTGGTTTCTCATACAGCATCTCTGTATAGTATGTGTATTCACTCTGTCCTACACGGCTTGTTGGAGCTCCTGCCCCCCCCCTCCCTATGAGCCCAGTGGCCGTCTGCGAGACAGCGAGACACAGCAAAACCCAGCCCGGAACCAGCCCGAACACACACACACACACCCACAGCCTGGCTGGGAGTTTGTGTGTGTGCTCACACACCGACTCACAGCCTCGCCGCATCCCGCCGTCTCAGGGAGGAGAACTCTGTGTTAGAGTTTTACTCGCGTCAGGGTGTACTTTGAGGGTTTGTGACTCTGCAGAACGTTCACATGCAGAAAAACCTTCATAACACACAAGGGGACAGGTAATAACCGGAAAAGCATGACATGGGGCCTTCAAGTAGTGGATTGTGATCTTTGATGCAGTAATGTGTTCATCACTGCTGCTAAATGAGGAGGTCATTTCAATTACTTTTACTACTGCTGGATATCCTAAGGTATAATTATATGTTTATTTATAAGAGTATTTTTTTGTATTAGCTAACCATTTGAATCTGTAAATTAGCAAAAGTTGTAATGGAGTAAAACATAAAGTAATGGCTTCCAAAATGTATTGGAGCGGAAGTGAAAAGTAGCATACAATGGAATAACACAGGTAAGTACAAGTACCCCACATTTGTACTCAAATAGACTACAATGCTACAGTAAATGTACTTAGTTACATTCCATATCTGTAGTTTTAATCTAGTTTAAGTTACAAAGCAGTTGACAGGACTGAATTACAAATGGAACCGTGAAAGGACCTTAAACACATCACGCAATCATATCTTTAGGTAAATAAAATAAGAATATGCTTGATACAAACTTACAGAGTACAATTAAAACATACAAGACATGACAATGTTTTCTTTTAATGTATTGACTTCCAAAACACTGGCTGCCGCAAATAAGTGAAATACTCTAACGTTCGTCAACCCCAATTCCAACTAAAGCACACATCTAGCGTAAAGACAGCCTAATGTTTACGGAGGACGTATACATGTCCGCAGCAACAATGTGTGTACAAATAGGCATTCTATTGTACGAACACTTATATGAATATTATAGTTTATGTGTTTTCGCCTTATGGCATTTTGGGAATAGCACCGCTGCTAATCAGCTGACATAGTTCCTGCTGTTTATCCGGTGCAGGCCATAACATTAGCTCAGTAAATGTGACACAGCAGAGCGGAAGAGAAACGTTAGGCTAACAACAGCTAGCCTTACTGTTACACTTCTTTAGTCCCATAAATCTAAACAGGCTACACTCACTGGCACCATTAAGCCGTCACATGAGACGGAATATCAGGATGTGATGAATGTGCTTTTGAATACAATACAATTCAAGTAAAACCACTAGCTTCTGGCTTGTTTTCAGCTGCAGTGTTAGCCTAGCCAGTCGCTGTCTGACGCTGCCTCAGAGGCGTTAGGCCACAGCAGCTTCACGTACAGCCTTTACACCAACTGAAGGGACACACTGTATGATAGGTGTTGCATTCAACGAAACCGAACACATGCAGGCAAACAGAGGAAGCGTTTAAATGCATACAATAATGCTGTATTTAGAAAACTTCTTACCATGATTATTTGATGTGTCTCTGCTCAGTCGGAGAGGCTGCCTGTCATGTGACACATTAATGCTGCCTTCACGGTCCGCATTCAGCTACACCTCTCAGGGCAGGCGGGGCCAGTGCACCACATAGACTGTTTACTGTATATAAAGTGTCCTATACCATAAACTCTATAAATGAAGTTTTACACCATATAATGTATATTTAAAGTGTAACACCATACACTCTATATATAAAGTGTAACACCATAGAGTGTATTTAAAGTGTAAAGCCATAAACTGTATATAAAGTGTACTACAATTGACTGTAGTTTACTACCATATATAAAGTGTACCACCATCACTGTTGGGGTAGTGACTCCATTTTTTTTTAATGCATTACACATGACTTTTACTTTAAAAAAAAGTAATGACTTACTTAACTAAATTACTCACTCTCTTTGAGATGATAAAGTAAGGTAGGTTGGCGACTAAAACACTATACTGTAGATTAACACCGTTTTCAGGGCACCCAACCGCATTTTATTGCCCAGTTTGAGCTGAAATAGGATTAACCCCCCCAAGACCCTATGCAAGTTAAGATGATGGATGTATCAATAAACAAACTAAAGATGCATTGTTATGAGTCAAGACCTTTATATATACAGTCTATGGTCAAGACAGCATGAAGTCAATGGCGAGAGAAAGATTATCTTTCGATCCCGTTTGAATTGTGCCACGAATTACACATATGATGTTTGTCAATTTAAAAGATAATTTTGCAAGTCAAAAAAAATAAAAATGTGTTGTAAAACTGTGAAGTAACACTTTTTTTTCTGTGAAACCGCTACACCTCCCGTCTCGCACCACACACCAAGACGGCCGTCACGTTGGCACATTTAACTTCTTTCTTTCAGAATGAGGCGAAAAGTATTAAAAGAGGTGAAAATCACTACAAGTCTGGACATGTTGAGAGCTGTACATACACAAAAGGGGAGTTAGTCGGTTTCCGTAAGAGCCAGGATGCGGGACCGGGATTCTGGGATTTGTAGTCTTTCTAGTTGCGTATTTTTCATAGTCTTATATTTCAACAGTTTTACGACAAACTGTGACTTTCTTGACATGGAAATTATTTTTTAAGATTGACAAACATCATATGTGTAATTCGTGGCACAATCGAAAGATAATCTTTCTCTCCCCATTGACTTCAATACATAATTTTTCCGAAATAAGGTCCCATGGGTCGGAAGTAGATGGGCGGGACCTCTCTATAGAGAGGCGAAGTCCCTCCCCTTCCGGTGGGACTCATGGGACCTTATTTCGGAAAAAGTTTGTATTGAAGTCAATGGAGAGAGAAAGATTATCTTTCGATCCCGTTTGAATTGTGCCAAGAATTACACATATGATGTTTGTCAATCTTAAATAATAATTTCCATGTCAAAAAAGTCACAGTTGTAAAACTGTTGAAATATAAGACTATGAAAAATACGCAACTAGAAAGACTACAAATCCCAGAATCCCGGTCCCGCATGCTGGCTCTTACGGAACCGACTAACTCCCCTTTTGTGTATGTACAGCTCTCAACATGCCCAGACTTGTAGTGATTTTCACCTCTTTTAATACTTTTCGCCTCATTCTGAAAGAAAGCAGTGAAATGTGCCAACGTGACGGCCGTCTTGGTGTGTGGTGCGAGACGGGAGATGTAGTTCATTGAGCGGTTTCACACAAAAAAAGTGTTACTTCACAGTTTTACAACACATTTTTATTTTTTTGACTTGTAAAATTATCTTTTAAATTGACAAACATATGTGTAATTCGTGGCACAATTCAAACGGGATCGAAAGATAATCTTTCTCTCTCCATTGACTTCAATGCATAACTTTTCCGAAATAAAGTCCCATGGAGCTCAACCGGAAGGGTCAAACATGACCTCGCAGTTTGAAGATGATATTGACCAGATTCAGGAGGCAACAGGGAAGGGAGAGGCAGATAAGAAGCTGTAAATCTTGACAGCAATCATTGTCAGCATCGCAGAGGAACGTTTTGGAGAGGAGGAGAAAAAAGGCCCAAGAACACCTTGCGTAAAGAACCAACGAGCAGTAAGGATCTAAAACATCAGGAAAGAGTTGAAGTCCCAGTTCAAGGATGCGGGAGAAGAGGAGCCCATTGGCCTGGCTCAGCTGACGTCATCCTCAGAAAGAATAACATTCTGCTCACAGGTACATTTACTATATGGTGCAACACTTATACCCTCTAAAAGCAATTGTTTATTTTCTAAATGTAATTTTCATGGTTAAATTCTGGAATGCAATAATCTCCTAACCATAATGCATAACTTCAAATAAATATAAATTAAATACACATTGAAATCGATTTCAATGAAATCGGAACTCGAATGGTTTTCTATACATGTTCCAATTTTTTTAGAGAATAATAATAATAGATTACACTTGTTTAGCACCTTTCAAGGGACCCAGGGCCACTTTACATGGTGAACAAACAAACAAACAAACAAACACAAGGGGCAAATAAAGTAAAACACTTAATAAATAGCAGTAGGAGTGGAAGCAGGGGGACTGTGATGGGTAAGGGGTCAAAGGTGAGTTTTTAATGATGACTTGAAGTTTTTTATGTCCTGTAGGCAGTTGACAAGGGATTGAGGGGGGAGCTGAGTGGACGGTTTGGTGCAGAGATAGAGCTGTGTGTCATCAGCCAATGAGTGAAAGCTGAGACCATGGTGGCGGATGATTGACCAAGTGGGAGCATGTAAATGGTGAAGAGGTGGGGTACAAGCACAGAGCCTTGAGGTACACCTTGGTTGACTGGGGCCGATGGGGAACTCAAGATTCAAGATTCAAGGCTTTTATTGTCATTCGTACATAACTACAGTGTAGTTATGTCGATGAAAATCTTAGGTCCCAGGCTCCTCCAACAGTGCAACACAATAAAACAGATACAATAGTGCAAGTAAATACAATAACATAGAATAGAAGTGTGAGGAAGCGCACACACTCCCTCACTAACATTTTGGCTTAACAATTTGTTTGTTAAGAAAGGTAGTACATGTTTCTTCAGAGTTGTCTTTATTTCAGTTAAAGTTATAAAAACAGTTTACATAGAAAAACTAGTAAAGTGCATCTAAATTAATTTGTCAGTCTGTAAAACACACAATCACAAAGTAATCACCATTTCCTTTGTTCAGACCTGGAAGCCATTTTGTGTCACTGCTCAAAGGGGGAGCACGCCTCCAAAGTACTCCTTATATGTGCCGTATGAGTAGGCGGAGTCTTGGACGTGATTGGTCAGGAAATGTGTGATTTTATGAGTGTCAATTAGGTTAAAAACTATCCGTTTTAAGCAGAACTTGTTGTTTTTGAAGGTACAATGTTTATGTTGATGCAATTATGAATTTACTTAAGCCTTTAGGATTGTATTAAATGTAGACCACAGTGTTTAATTTTGTATTTAACCCTTCACTCTGCTTTCAGAACCATGACCTGATTGGCTAGGTTGGATTGGGAAGGCGGGCAGTCTCCTATAAATGTGGTTGGGAAGACAGGGGAAAGGGGCATTTGGTGTTTGTTCCTTGCTGGTGAACGCAGCACCAGGCATGCAGTTTTTGTTTCTGTGGAATAATGTGGAAGGCTAAGAATAAAACGCCTGTCTATTTTTGCAAGAAAACCCTCTCTCCACATATCGTTCTTTCACCTGCACCTCACTTTGTACCAATTGGTGGGATTTTTAAACGCCTGTGAGGAGTCTTTGAGGACAGACTGACTAAATGAAAGGTGTACGTGGAAAAGGTCGTCGGACAAGGGCCACAGCCTTGCCAGACATGGAGGAAGAAAAAAGACAAGGGACAATGGAAGAAGAGTCACCACTTGAGGGAGCCGGGGCAACTGAAAGTGAAGAAGATGAGGAAGAGCCGGTGGTTCGCCCCAAAGTGTTTACAGCCCATACTGGAGGTGAGGAACTCTCTACAGTAAGCTTCATGGAAGAAATTAGAGAGTTTGTGCACAGGTCTAAGCAGACTGAGACAATACTTTTTGAACAGATTAAACAATTAAGAGGTGACATGGTTTCAAAGTCAATGCGGGACTCAGAAGTACACTATGAGCACCCTGTTCAACAGTATCCCTATGGTTGGGAAGAGAGGGGAAAGGGGCATTTGGTGTTTGTTCCTTGCTGGTGAACGCAGCACCAGGCATGCAGTTTTTGTTTCTGTGGAATAATGTGGAAGGCTAAGAATAAAACGCCTGTCTATTTTTGCAAGAAAACCCTCTCTCCACGTATCGTTCTTTCACCTGCACCTCACTTTGTAACAAGAAGTAGTGCCATACTTGTCTATATACAAGTGATACATAATTTGTAAATTGCAAACAGGTGAATGTTATGGATGTTCTTAGTTAAGGTGTTTAACAGTCTTATGGCCTGTGGAATAAAACTGTCCCTGAATCTGTTGGTTTTAGTCCGGATGCTGCGGTACCGCCTGCCAGACGGCAGCAGACAGAACAGTTTGTGGCTGGGGTGATGGGGGTCTTTTATAATCCTGAGGGAGTTCTTCCTGAGCCGCTGGGAATAAAGATCCTCCATGGATGGCAGCTCCGTCCTGGTGATGTTCTGTGCAGTTTTCACCACCCTCTGTAAAGCCTTACGATTGAGGGCGGTGCAACTGCCGTACCAGGCCGTGATGCAGCCAGTCAGGATACTCTCTATGGTGCACCTGTAGAAGTTTCAGAGTATCCTGGAGTCCATGTTGAACCTCCTCAGCCTGCGGAGGAAGAAGAGCCGCTGTTTTGGTGATGGTGTTTGTGTGATGAGTCCATGTCAGGTCCTCAGTGATGTGGACACTGAGGAACCTGAAGCTGCTGACTCTCCCCACCGTAGTCCCATTGATGGTGATGGGGGCGTGTCCCTCTCTCTGCTGCTTCCTGTTATCCACAATCAGCTCCTTGGTTTTGCTGACGTTGAGATGGAGGTTGTTATCCTGGCACCAAGATGTCAGGTTTTCGACCTCTCTGTACGCCGTCTCGTCGCCATCGGTGATCAGGCCGATGACGGTCGTGTCGTCACCAAACTTCACGATGGTGTTGGAGCTGTGTGTGGCCACGCAGTCGTGTGTGAACA